TTTGCAGCTTGGATCACGTGGCGCCGAAAACTTCACCTTCGTCGCGGCATCGGGATGAGGCCCAGGAGAGAAAACAGAACAAAGAGGAGCTGGCCAAGTACAGGGAGCGCACTGGCTACGCAGAGCGGAACGCTACCTGCACGGCGTCGCAGACTTTGCAGCATCACCGAGGAGATCTTACGCCAATGCCAAGCAGCACAGCCGTCCCATGGTTCATGTACTTAGGCAGCCCAGACAAGCAGGCGCTTGCGATTGTAGACAAAAGCTTCAGTTCCATGTACTCCAAGAAGGGTCTGGGTGCAATGCTGGATGCTTATCACGATTGGTTGTGTAAGCCTGTTGGTGCAGTGTCTCTTCCCCTCGTATCGGAGAAGGCGCTCAACTGCAAGTGCGCGTGGGATCACTGCTTCTGCACGCCATCTGGGAAATGACTATATGGACGTCGCGTCAAGTTCTTTCGGTTCTTGAAAGATCAGACACCTCGTGATACGTCGGGTCGCGATTTGCTATTGGCAGGCTTGCTGGTCGTTAGAATCAGGAGCTTACCACTTCAACCTTTCTTTCCGCCAGACAGCGACGAGTCCGACTACGACGTGGCCCTGGAGAATGCGATAGCAATGGGGGAGGATATATCTTTCTGGCATCTCAGTTACACCACGTTGTCACCGTACGATATCATGCTGCAAGAAATGACATGCGATGATGTGCAGACGCCCTTCTTGAACACCGTCAATGTGGAGGTGCATGGGACGAATAACTATCTTGATGTTTACGATTGGTGTTGCACTCTGCAAGAAGATATGTCTCATGACGCGATGCTATACAAGCTCCTGAACAATGGCGAGCCTATCCTGAAGGAAAACTTTGTGCCCAAGAACCAGGTCATCGAACCATTGCGTCGTGATGGAGACGATGACGGTGAGCTTCGATTCTGGGGTGGGCTCGGACCTCGAAAACCACGTGGGCGAGGTCGTGGAGGTCGCCATGGACGTGGACGAGGTAGAGGTGCAGCTCGCGGGCGAGGTGGCCGTGGCCGTGGGCGAGGACATGCAGGACGGGGAGGTGACGAGGACTTTGGGTAGTGAGGGGGAGAGCTTTGCTCATTCGAGTGCCCCCCCCCCCCCCCCCCAGGAAGGTCTGGTGCAAGAATGTCGTTGGTGGGGGTGGGGGCCAGTTTGTGGGGGGACTTGATAGCAGGCCAGGGACCGACTACTCCCGAGACACTAGGGCCCATGGCACCGAGATCTCAAACCATGCATTCTGGAGGATATCTCATGTTTCTCGTCGGTGTGATTCCTGAGTTTCTGTTAGTTGCATGTGTCTGGATTGCTCTCGATTTGATATGTCTTGCCACGTGAGCCCCTATAAATCCCAGGGTCCGATGTGACTTATACTGCTGCGCCATGAGGGTGCGATCCCCAAAGCTAATTGCCATGGGGTCTACAACTAGGCCCCTCACAAGGTTCCATCAGCGTAGGTCCCACGGGTCCCATGGGTACTCATCCGGTTCCACCCAGAAAGCTCCATGGGCTACATCAGAGCCCCTTTGTATAATGCTCTTGGCGTTGTCGTGTCTCCCGTCTCCCCTTGAAGTCTCCAAGAGGAATCAAGCGATGATGACGAGGGACCAGGCCCTGACGCTGGCGCTGAACACGGCGACGACCTTGAACCTGCCGCCGACTCGGAAGTCGAATCAGAGGGACAGGGCAGCGAACTTGCTGCTATGTGCGACGATGAGGTCAAGGCCTTGACATTCGATGAGGCGGTCGACATCGCCATGGGTGGTCACGACGAGGACGTGGCCGTTGGAGGCGACGGGGATTTCGACGACGTCGCCTTGCACATCGGCATTCCTGAGGAACCCGCTGACGATGCCCTTGCTGGCGACGACGTCACCTCACGGACATGGTGGTGATGGCTGCGGTGACTTGCTTACTCCTGAGGAGATGCTTGAGGCCTTTGGCCATGGATTTGCAGCTGGCCCACCTGTGCCTGCTGAAGCGCCTGATCCAGGCGCTGGCGCGGAGCCCACGCTCCGCCGCCTGCCGATGCCCCACCGCATCCTCCACCTCCTCCTCCACCTCCTGGTCCTCCTCCAGACTGGGTGCCGCCTTTACAACACGGTGGATCTAGGATCTTTGGATTTCGAGGTATCCGCATTTCTGCACATTACAATGCCATGAAAAGGAAATCTTTTGTATAAGTTTCGTGTCCTAATAAAGCGCATGGGCGCTGTGTGCTCACTAAGTCTTTCGATCCTAGCAATAAGATGGGTCGCGAAGGCCAGGGCCGTTGCCTTGGCGTCGTTGGTGCCTTCATCTTGTCTGCAACTGAAGCAGGGGTTGATTCCAAGTATCATCATATGGCACTGATCCCTGATTTTCCACGTGAGACGCGCCTGCGAGGACGCAAAGCAATGCACGATGACGGAGGCCTGGATGGGTTGTTTGAATGCGAGCGACCTCAGCACGCAGGTGAGGAGTCAGAGCCTGAGCTTGTGCCCCACTGAGGCGTGTAAAACCTAGTACAAATCATGGGCATTTGCATTCTCTGTTTCCACTTTCTCGTCCTACACGCCCTCCTCGTCGTTCTTCTCCTTCGCTCCTTTGTGCTGATAGTTCCTCTCTTCTGCTCCTCGCCCCTGCTGCGAGGCCCATGCCTCACCAAGTTCTGATGTGATCATGGAGAATCATATGAGGCCTCAGGGGTCAGCGTAAGGTTCGAATTTTGATCGGTGATACCAACATTGACCATATATTTCATTGGATGTTGTGATCCCTGAAGGGCTCCAGGAGGGCCCAGGAGGGCCCCAAGAGGAGGCCCCCCGTCATACGGAGAAGGTTTCGAAGGACCCCTGGAGCCCAATCGACAGTGAGGAGGCGCAAGGACAACCACTTCTGAGACATCCCCTGTGATGGCCAGCCGCTCTGGGCCAGACTCTGAAACCGCCTCTTGAAGGATCGGCCACTTTCGATTCACTTTCTGTGGGTTCTGAATCTCGCTCTGGGGGTATACCAGGGCAACCCCAAAGGGTCACGAGTCCCTCTTGAACCTCCTCTTGTGCGTGAATCACCTCGACGGGCGATTTTCAAGAATGCTCTTGAACCTCCTCTTGGGTGTGAATCAGCTCGCGGCGCAAGTTTCAAAAGTCCTCTCGTAATCATTAGATACCAGTGAATCAGCTCTCAGATATGTTTTCGTTCTACCTCCTGAATCACCTTTCTGTCAGGGCCCCAGGTGCCCAGTCCGCTTTTGAACCTCCTCAGGGTTTGAAACCAAGTTTTCGTCATTTTCCCAAGGACCTGCAGGAAACCATGGGAACTCACTCAAGAGACCTTTGGAGAGGTTCAAGGTCCTCTCGGAGACCTTCGGGGGGGCTACGCGTGAGGCGCCCCAGGTCTCGGAGACCTCCAGCGTGCCGCGCAGGGGCGAGGCCGGTGTCTCAGGTACCGTTTTCTCTCTGGTCAGGCTTCGCGCCGCGCGCCCTAAGTACCCCCCTCCCCTCCTCTCCATCGTTCAGAGGGTGTCAGAAAACACCAACTGCTATGCGGAGGAGGAAAACGGTCTGGAAGCGAGGCTCGGCCGCGCGCCCTAAGCACCCCCCCCCCCACTGCGTTTAGAGAGCAGGCGATTTTCAGATGCAGGAAAATACCCCGGGGGGGGTGAGGGTTTTGCAGTTAGGGACGAAGTAGAGGTAGATAAGACATCATTGGCCCATGCAAACATGAAATATGGAAGTGAAATGGCGCCACAACAAAACCATACATATTTATAAGATCCCTCAGGGCTCAATCAATGTTGGCCCAAGGTTCCATATGGGGTTCCATATGCGTGATCTCCTGAGGTCTCTTTGGGGCCTAATTGGGTTCCGTTCGATACTTCAACTTCAAAAATAGTGGGGTACCTCGAGGTCACTGAGAGCCCAATACCAGCCATCTCCTTAAGGCCCAAATCTAACATAGGCCAATGCTTCCAGAAGGGCACGCGCCACTTCGGGTGCTTCAAACATGCGTTCGGATTCTCGATGCCCTAATTTTCAATAGACTGGTGTGGAAACGTTTTGCTTGGCCCAAGTATTGTCGGCATAGGACAAGGCGTTAAGGGTAACGCCTTGTCGTTATTCGCGTTCTCGGCCGACCATGGACGGCACTCCTCCTAGTCACAGTCGGCTCATCGGGGAGACCTTGCCGTGCCAATAGAGGATTGTGCGATCTTCAGGTAATCGGGCCTAGCTCTCGCGCACAGATGCCATTGTGATTGACGACGACGATGACGGCTGCAAGAAAGCGCCCAAGACTTCCAGCGGCCCCAAGGAGGAGGTCGACTTGTGGGAGGCTCCAGATCCAGAGAAGATCGCGACACCGCCTAAGCCGAATCCTCCTGGCTGGATTCCAAATCAGGGCCGACGTTCGCGTGCAGATTGTCCGTCCACCAGATGAGCCGACGGGCCATCTGCGTGCCAACGTCTGCCCTTTCAGCAGCATTATGTCGAGCGCCCGCGCGGTGTGTGGCTTCCCGAATTGAAGGAACGCAAACGCACCAAGTAGGTAGATCCTGCACCGTTAATTGCGGTGCCATGCCCTTTGTACGGTGCACTCAGTTTCGGGGACGAAAACATGTTAGCTAGGGCGTGCCATGCGACTTTTACAAAGGTGGATATGGGGCCAGAACAATCCATGGGAGCCTTCATCTAAGCGCGGCTTTGTTTCCTCATTACATTACCCCCCCACAATATTTATGGTCCCCAGGTTTTCGTCTTTCGGCCCAGTCCTGCGTCTGAGAGGGGAATGATCGTAGGGGGGGGGGACATCCCAACATATCTCGGAGGGCCCAAAAGGCTGAAAACAACACATGCGAAGGAAGGGGGGGCACCGTCCCACTGCGTGGTGACGATTCGAATTTGATCAGTTCCTCAGCTGCTCTTGGATCAAAGGCACTCTGGAGAGACGTCTGTTGTTCTGAGGCAAACCCAAACAACTAATCGATCTGCTTTCCCAGCGATGGGCGGCAAGAAGGGGGCCAAGGCGGATCAGAAGGTGGAGCCGAAGGCGCAGACCGACGGCCCTCAGCTAAAGCACTTCGGTGATCGCTTGTGCTTCTGCGCTAAGTGCCGCAACTGCTCCAAGGACATGGCTTTTACGAACCCCACCGCCCTCCCCAAACATGTACAATCTCATCCTTGTCAATCGGCACCCCCGCCCACCCCTGAGTCCAGTAGAGCCACGCATGTGCATATGCATACACGCGCATCCACGCACGTATTACCTCTCTCTCTGGGCACATGCAGGCAGCACACGGCGCTCTGGCAGGATAGGCAACATGCGGCATTGCACTGCCCAGGGGTCCTGGCACAGGAGAGGAGGAGGGATGACGGCTGAGGGGGAAGGAGGAGCTAGACACGACTAGAACGACACAGTGAGAGGATGGGTCATACACAGCCGAGCAGTTAGGATATGAGAAAGTCGAGGTGAGAGACGGGGATGGGGAGGGGAGGGTGGGATTGATGTGAAATATTTTTTGATGTCGCAAATATCTTGAGCCAACGTCTGACCGATGTAAGCCATGAAGGGGGTATCAATTTTCTGGGTATCATGTCCGGCTCCTCAAGGATCGCCCCTTCAAGTTCACGTCTCTGGACCCGCGCGGGCCGCAGAATGCGTGCGCGGAGTGCTACAACCAGAAAGAGACTTTGTCCCCGTGGATGACTTGGGGGCAGTTCAACGACCTCGGCAATGACGTGCCCGAGTTCGGCCAAGTTTGCGATGCAGCCATGCAGGTGGCATCTGGCAAACGGAAGAAAGAGACGTTGGCGCAGGAGATCAGCAAGGAGGCCCACGTCGGCTGCCGCATCGAGCAGGAGGCCGAGCTTGCGACCGAGCAGGCGGTCAAGAGGCGTTGCTTCGGGGTCGCTCCGAGGTGCCTCGGCATGAGCCCAGTGGAGCTCTTGGACAAGAACGGCCTGGAAGTTGCGTCTGGCTACCCTGTCGCCGTCGGCGGGGCGCCGCAGAGGATCTTCTTCTACACCGATGTCGCCGTGAAGAGAGGCATCCCTGTGCTGGACTCGCGCGAGAACTTGAGCGACGTGCAGATCCCAGCGAACCTCAAGCGGGCCTTCGACATCCAGGAGCTCGGAGGCGGCAACATGCAAATGCCGAATAACCTGAAGTCGTGGGAGCAGCTGGAGATACGCAGCAGGACCATCAGGCAGAAGCGCGACGAGCTGAGCGTGAGCAGGAAGAAGTCTGGTGAAATGATTCCAACATCAGCCGACAAGCGCGACGGACATGACAGCGATGACGACCGCGAGAAAAGCGTGGATGGATATGCTGCCGCTTCCTCGACCTGGATTCCGCCGAGCATGGCAGCTTCTGCAGATGCGTCTCGCCTACATGACCAATGGAAGGCAACGAATAAGAAGGGGTCCGCGTCCGCGGCGGCGTCTTCGAGGGATAGGCATCCGTCGCCGAGCCCACCGCCAATCAGCAAGGGGAGCCCCGCCCAGATTGTCGATGCCAATGTGGAGGACGGCACTCTGAAGAAGGTGGCTGCAGGCTACTTTGTCAAGACCCCGAAGTACTGGACCCAAGTCCTCGACATCGCGCAGGGCGCAGCTGGCAACAACATGTCCAAGGATGTCGGCCAGGCCAAGCTTTGCCGCTCGAGGGAGGGCAATACGACGGAGGCCGACAGGCTTGAGACGCATCTCGAGCTGTTCGCCGAGAGCCTGAAGCTTTCGCCATCGCAAGTCCACCTGTTGTCCGGCGACGCGCTGAAGAAGCTGCTTACTAAGTTGCAGGCCGTCAATCCACAGCCAGCGTGGGCCCTCGAGACTAAGAGGGGTCTGACAACGAGGAAGTTCCAGTGCATGTCTGACCTGACCCTCCAGCTCTCTGGATCCAGCGAGCCCACGTGGACTGAGCTCGTCTGCGTACTCGACCCGATCGGCAACAACAAGAGCCACGACTTCGACTTGCTCAACCCGACGTTCCACGCGGTCGCGAAGCAGATGGGCCGCTGTCTTTACTGCGAGTTCGCGAAGGAGGACTACTTTGGCAAGGTCATTCCCAAGATCCTGTGTCAGAACAGCGCTGAAGGGGGACCGCAGGCTGAAGGAGATGGGCTTATAAGTGAAAAGGTGTTCACTCTACCAGAGGATTTGCAGCTGGAAGACTGGATCGTGGACTTCGGTATTCAGATGACTCTTCTTCACGAGTGCTTGGACTTCATCGTGGAGCCGTACATCGTCGATTCTGAAGCCGAGGACCCTCGGAACCTTCTTCAACAAATCCAGCAGGCATCCATCGTCACGAAGGCCGGCGACTTCTTTTCCATGATGGCGCCGTCGCTGGCCAACTGCCACCGCGCCCAGACCTTGATCGCAGACTCCCTCAAGCCCAACGCGAAGTACGAGGCGAACTACGAGGAAGTGAAGAGCATGGTGAGCAAGATGGGGCAATCAGCAAATAATGGAGAGCGTGAGGCGCCGTCCGCGTTGACGAGCATCTGCACCAAGCTGTTGGCCTGGGAGGGGAACATGCCCAAGGGTTCCTGCACTCGAGTCAGGGAGTTACTCTGGGCGCAGTTGGTAGGCAACTATCAATCAATATTCGGCGGCCACAACGAGGATTCGAACCCAGAAGACGCCAAAGAGATCCCAGCGGATCGCATGGCGACCATCGTGGACATGAAGGAGTGCCTTTCAACTGCCAGGGAAGTGTTCGTGGACAAGATCGAGCTCAAGAGCTACGTCGAGAAGCTGACCCGTGCGATCGGCTCATTCGATCAGGAGAAGAGGATGAAATATATCAGTGAGATGTGCAGGGAGTACGTGGCCACGAAGGACATCAAAACTTTGGTCAGGCTGGAGAACCTGCTGGGCCAGATACCAGGAGGGGATGCCCTTACGAAGGACGCCCTCGACTGCATCTCGAAGGTGGTCAAGCACGCTTCTGCGCATATGATGGAGGTAGCCAGCAAAGAGCACGACGGTGAAGCAGACGAGAGTGCCAGCGCCAAGGGAGGCAAGCACATCGAAACGATCTACCTCATCACGAGTGCTGTCGGTCGAATGGTCCCGCTCCTCAAGGCGAGCACTGAGCAGATCATGATCAGGCTTGGCAAGTACGCCGACGGAATTGTATCTGCAGCGAAAAGCTTCGTCAACCTGGTGGAGGTGACCAACTGCGTGAAGGCCATGGGTGCAGACGAAGAGGCAATCAGCCAGTGTGATCAGTGCATGCCTCGCTTGCTGGAGCTCGGCCGGGCTCTGAACTCCTTCGACGCTGCCATCGGGACTTGGAAGGCCGACGAGGGAGACGCCAACTTCGGTTGCATCGAATACGAGCGCGCCCTGGATATCAAGACGAAGGTCGCCACGGCTTTCATCAAGCACCTGAAGACAGAAAACGAGAAGACAGAGAACGACGCGAAGCAGATCTACGGCATGGAGGGCTCTACGGTCAAGAGTTGGTTCGACGGCTTGGCGGCTGATACGAAGTGGGTTGAGCTGGTCGAATCTCGGCAGGCTCGCGACTTCCACGCGAACGTGTCCCTGGAAGCTGTGAAGGCCAAGTGCGAAGAGATGGGCCAGCTCGTGCGCAAGCACGATGACCTCTTCACGTTCCTGAAGATGCCCTTGGTCAAGTGGGACTCGATGATGAAGGTTCGAGCGGACCTGGCCGCGCTGTACCTGGAGCTGCTCATCTTGGACAAGGCTGGGAACGCGCAGATCCAGAAGGCCGAGCTCAGGAGGCACGCGATTGCGGCCAAGTCGTTATGTGCTGACGCTTCGTCGGAGCTCAGCTCGAAGGGCGTCTTCCCGCCGATCGCGGTGAAGATGAAGCTCGCGCTGCAGGGCAAGGCCTAGACTGGCAGCCGGCAGCGCGGCGTGCATTGAGCGCGCAACAGGGGGGGAGGAGGATGAGCAGAAGGATGAGGAGGAGCGGGAGGAGGAGGAGGAGCAATAGCAACAGCAAGCCCCGAGGACAGCACAGCTCCAATGCGCCCGCTTTTTCAGGGGGTCCACTGGCCAAGCAGTGATTCGAACGAGTACAGAGTAGAAAGGAGGATTAGATGAGCAGGGATGGGACTGCAAAGAGCAAGGAGGATAGCACGTGGAATGCGGTACGGGGGTCGCGGGGGAAGGGCCCAACAACGATGGGGGAGGAGGAGGGGGAGGATGAGGACTGACAACAGCACGAGCAGAGTCATGGTCAGCGAGGCCCCCCGCGTTTGGCGATGACGAGTGGTGCGGAAGCTTCGCTCGCCTGAAGCCTGAGAATCGTTGGGATCCCATCTATTACCACCGAATCCCCGTATGTGTTCCGTCCTCATGTGTGCTTGCCCAGCCAAGTCACGTCGGTCTTCCTTGGATTTGGTTGCTTGGTCCTGGATCCTGGGCCCTGGACCTTCGAAACTCTACCTTCGATGGAACGGACCACGAGACGTCTTACGAACAGGTAGAGGAGGAGAAGGAGGAGGATGAGGAGAAGGAGAAGCAGGGGGGAGGAGGAGGAGGAGGAGGAGGAGGAGGAGGAGGAGACGGAGGAGGTGGAGGAGGAGAAACGATGAGGGGGAGGAAGAGGAGGAGGGGGAGGAGGAGAAGGAGGAGGAAGACGGGGGAGAAGGAGAGTGGGAGGGGGAGGAGGAGGAAGAGGAGGGGGAGGAAGAGGAGGAGGAGGAGGAGGAGGGCCTCGTGCCCGCGCCTCGTGAGATGGCCGAGGCGACGGTGGACGTCTGCGCTGCTCCCGACGCTGCGCCGCAGAGGGGTCGTCGTCGTCGACGCCGCCGACGCCGTCGTCGCCACCGCCGCCGCGAGCCTTTTTCATGTCTCCTGTTCTTCACTGCCCTCCTTCGCTCCTTCCCCCATTTTCGCTCCGTGCCCCTCAACGCCTTAGAAATCCCACCGTGTTCCCTCCACGCCAGCCGCCTCGCTGCCATGCAACCCCGACCCATCCATGTCCACAAATCTCCGTTGAAGTTTCACATCACATTCGAAAACTTCGTTGCCGCTCGAATTACAACTTCTCCTTCGCCAGCTTAAGGTACACACCCATGCTAAGTCGTTCTGCTTCCTCTGCTCCTCTTCGTACTCGTCCCCACTGGTAACCATAGTCATCGGATGATATTTTGCAGCGGCGGCCTGATCTCCCAGAGGTTCCCCAAGAGGTGAAACACACAGGAGTTTCAAAGCGAGTGGAAGAAGGTCGCCCAGAGGTGTTGCAGAGGACTTTGGGCGGATCGGCTTGTGGCGTCCTGTAGAGGGACGTGCAAGTCCCAAACCCAGTGAAAGAAGGTACCCTGCGACATAACAACCCTGAGGCACACGACGAGGTCAAGGCATCTACTTCTCGCCCATTTGGCGACAAACCTGTGCCCGACCCTCCACTTGCCTACCCTAAAGAGTGGGGTGATCCGTCTATGATGACGATGGACGACAACATCGTTGATACCCACCCATCGGCCTCTGAGGTTGCTGCACCGGCACCGGAGCCCGACAATTGGGAACAGCGTGGATATTGCGTCATCAGGCACATACGTACCCCACGCAGAAAATTGTTCATACCAACAGACGACGTTATGAACATACCTGCACCTGTTGATCAGGTCGACGTGACACGAGACTTCGGAACGACCTACCTTCGACGGAGAAAGTGTCTTTCGCGATGTTTGGGATGGTGTTAGCGCCACCGGCCACCGGGGATTGAGTGAGCCTTGGGCCGGCCTGGTTCGATTCTATGAGCTCCCTAAAATGTTGCCAGACGGCAAAATGGTGGTCCGCGGCCGCGAGACACGCGCACAGGCCACTACGCATCCAGACCACATTCTTCCCGAGCGTTGGAAGACCGTATCTCGTGGACAGCAAAAGAAAGCGATCGAATGCGCCGAAAATATCAAACAAGCTCGTGAGATTCGTGGCCGAGATGCACTTCGAGTGTGGACCCGTCAGGACAAACAAGCCAAACATTTCCGTGCCACTACAGCTGGCGGACCCACATGGAATACCGTGGAACGACGGATTACGTACGATACCGACAGCGGCGCTGTCATCCGTGACGAGGATGTCAAGGGCGTGACCAACAAAGCCATTTTGTATGCCAAACTACTTGGTGGACCACGTGACATTTCTGCAGTACTGTACTACCGCCAACCCTCACCACAGCCTGCTGGAGCCGCACGTGCCCTGGTGCTTGTCGACAGTGAAGGGAACGATTTCGGGACCGCGAACCCGCTCACACGCAAGTTCACCCCGTCGGTAGCAGTGCCCACTATGCCACGTGAGCCGACATACACACCGGCACACAAAGTCAAGATTCCTGATTCACCGCGGGCACGCCCAGCCCTTGTTACCAGAAATTTGAGTAAGAAAGAAGTTGCCGCATAACCGCGCGCACAGGAGGCCCTACGAAAAGAATACGGGCGACTTGAGAAGAAGCAAACGTGGATGTTGGAGATTGTTGCAGAAAAAGATGATATTGAATCACAGTCGATTCTTACTGGGACGAAAATTCACTTCTTCAAGATCTTGGAGTCATCCTCAGTCAAACATGAGGAACTCCCTCCTGATCTACGTAAGTTCAAGGGCCGAGTGGTGGTTCAGGGCAACACGGGCAAAGATGAAACCGGATTGCCCGCCATATTCGCCGACGCCGCATCCAGCGCGTCGCATATCGAGGTTTCCAAACTTTGTGATGGTACCGCACTATTGCCGCAATATGCGGGCGAACAAAGCGATACACCTGGAGCATGCACGCAGGCATTGCTATACGGAGACGGACGGACCGACCCAGTCGATACTTGGATTACCATACCCAAGTGGCGCCAACCTGCATCTTGGTCTAAATACAAAAATCCCGTTTGCCGATTACGATTGGCACTATGCGGACATCCTCTCGCAGGTGTCTTTTGGGAACGAAAGTGTCGCACATGCTTGGGAAGTGTTGGATTTGAGTCCATTCCAGGCTGGGAATGCGTGGGGAGACACAACAAACTGGGATTGTTACTTTCAGTATATGTGGACGACTTCAACTTAGCAGGTCCAGCCATCAATCTACAAGCCGGCTGGGATTATATCCGCAAAAGCGGCATTGATTTGGATCCGCCCACTCCATACTCTCAATACCTTGGCTGTGGACAACAGGCATACGACGTACCACAGACCATCTTTGACAAAAGAATGTCTACCGTTCGACTTATGTTGCCTGCACACAGTGATAAAGAATACCATACAGCCAAACAAGTTCGTGGAATACGACATGGCATGCTTGGTTTTACTGATCAGCGTATTCAGCGGTACCTGGAATGCGCCTCCAAGCATGCCCAGGGGGCAGGGTCACGTCGTAAACGGCCCGACTCACCGAGGGCTTCGCGATCCAAATCGCTCAGCTCTTCCGGGTCGGTCGCGAGACCCACTAGCGCGCTCAACGCGCGGCCGCGATCATCCAGCCCAGCTCGATCGGTCGACAAACTTTCCACTACGAGAGAATCAACGACAGTCACATACGATGACCTACCCGACGCCGAGACTCCTGGCATCGAGGACACCTTCTTTACCGAGTCTGACTACTCCGACGAGGGTATCCTCGGCCAGGACGCGGCGAGTGTATTGATGAAGATTCTCTTACCTGGCACGCTGCTGTCGTTTCGATCTTTTACATCCAGTATGCATGCTAGCCAGAGAGATTACTAAATGGAATACCGCGTGTGATAAACGTCTACATCTGCTGATATGCTACATCAAAACGACGCGTACCCATTGTTTACATGGATGGATAGGCGATTCCTCAGACAAGCTATCCATCATGCTCTTCACTGACGCCTCGTTCGCCGATTGCATTACCTCCTCCAATTCCACTACCGGCGTCTTCGCCGCGCTTGTTGGACCCAGCGCGTTCTTCCCGGTCAATGCCGTGTGCAAGAAACAAACGGACGTCTCGCACTCATCCACAGAGTCCGAGATCGTTGCTCTTGACTCAGCACTACGACTGGAAGGGCTACCACTTCTCTCATTCTGGGAGGCCGTGGTGGAGGTTGCCAACACCTGCAAAGAGAAGAATACTTGCCTGGGCTGCCTGGGAAGCGCCGCCACGGCGATGTGTCCGACGCTGGCCGCCAAAAAGAAGAGGCGCAAGCCATCGCCTCGGAAGGCACCCCCCACGCGGGGATCTTCTCCTGGCCGTAGGCAGCTACCGCTGAAGACGGAGCCACCTACGCCTCCAAAGAGGCGCACGATATCCCATGAGGGCACCGTGTTACACGTGGATCCAGAGCCTGCTCAGGAGAGCAGCTCTCCCAAAGTACATCTCACCGTCCTCGTGGATAACCAGGCCGTGATCAAGATTGTCCAAAAGGGACGTACCCCAGCACTTCGTCATCTTCACCGTACTCATCGTATAAACTTGGATTGGATATGCGAGACGTGCCAACTCGAACATATTGAGCTCAAGTATGTAGGTACAAAAGAGCAGATTGCAGATATGATGACTAAACATTTTGAGCCAAAGAAAGCAGACCCCTGGAGGGATCAATTGGAGCACTCACTCATCTTTCCTGCTACCCCGTTACAGTGCGCTCCAAAGAACCCATGGAGACCACTGCGAGGGCCTCGGAGGCCCGATGATTTACCTCATGTTGCAGAACCTCCAAAACTGGATGGATGCCCGGAAGTATGCAAAATATTACTTGCAGAGAAAGAAAAATGGGGCGAGGTAGGATCAGAGTGCGGAATGATGTGTGTTGGACAAGCCAATCACGAGGGCATACGCGCATGCATGTACCATATCGGTGTCCCTGCTGCAGCTACCGATTTGCGCACGCCTCGATCGAGGGCACGTTCACCGCACGGTAGACAACCCCGCCATCCTCTCT